CTCCCCTCCTCTTCCTCTTTATTGGTATCTCTTGATCACCTGGTCTGATCCTCATTCATTAATGTTCACTACTCTCCAAGGTTTTGACAATCACATGGATTGGATCAAAACCTCAACTCTCCTTTTTACCCCACTTAACTCACCATTTGCATTGCATTATTATATGTTGAATCTTGTCATCAATAGAAACAGAACTACCACTGATTAAAGATCCCATTCTTCAAATGTAAGTTCTTATCCTTGGAGATCTTGTACCTGAGACACCCAATGACCCCAACAGCTTCTCCTTTTTCTTGAGCATAATTTTTTTTCCTCATACCTCTTCATGTTCAGTCCATATTTCAGAGTTCCTCTTTGCTGAAATTACTGTGTCAAGATTTGCAATTCCCTGTCCCTCCCTCATTGTCATGTCTATTAAAACTTCACACCTGTGTAAACCTATGACTCTGCTTCACCCTTCTTTGTGTTTTTATCTAAGCAGCTGAACTTTGGTGGGGAAAAATCATACAATTAGGCATGCTGCTTTCAATTTATTTTTTTAAGATTTTATTTATTTATTTGTCAGAGAGAGAGAGAGAGAGCGAGTGAGCACACGCATGAGGAGGGGGGAGCAGCAGGCAGAGGTAGAGAGAGAAGCAGGCTCCCTGCTGAGCAAGGAGCCCAATGCAGGACTCGATCCCAGGACCCTGGGATCATGACCTGAGCCGAAAGCAGTGGCCCAACCAACTGAGCCACCCAGGCGTCCCTGCTTTCAATTTATATTCATAACCTCCAACTTCACACAGGCATTCAACATTGCTCAGCACACGTACTGTCTTCCTCTACTAAGCATAAACACTTTACCCCCACTGCAATGTCTATTTCATGCCTACTTCTCTCTCCTGAAACAGAACTGCCTAATCTTCCCTAATCCGGGAATTTGGGAGTTCCCTAAACTCCCTAATCTTGCATCCATTCTTCTCACTACCAGCTAATAATCTTGCCTCATTAAACCACCAGACTGGAACTCCCTCATCTTTCCATCTCAAAAATCAATACAACTTCCTGCATCTGCACCCAACTTCTAGCCTGGTTGAACTTATTCCATGTCCTCAACTACCCAGGAAGATTCCTTGTAATGGTTCAACTTGCTTCTGATTTTAAGTCTTCGAGCTGTCAGCGTCCTACTCTCCACAAGCAAATTTAGCTGCATTCACACTCATCTTTCCTCCATAAGTTACACCCAAAGACTTTTTACCTAACCCTTAAATCTATGCTCTGGATTATATCTCAATCTGCTTCCCTTGGACTCTAGCAACAACGACCACCTTATATATTCAACCTGAAGCTCTCTCTTCCTTCCTCTCCTTCCCTTCTGTCTCCTTCAAGTTTGTGTGTGTGTGTGTGTGTCTTAAAGATTTTGTTTATTTTTTTATTTTTTATTTTTTTATTTTTTAAAGATTTTATTTATTTGACAGAGATCACAAGTAGGCAGAGAGGCAGGCAGAGAGAGAGAGAGAGAGAGAGGAGGAAGCAGGCTCCCTGCTGAGCAGAGAGCCCGACCCGGGGCTCGATCCCAGGACCCTGGGATCATGACCTAAGCCGAAGGCAGAGGCTTTAACCTGCTGAGCCACCCAGGTGCCCCATTTTGTTTATTTATTTCAGAAAGAGAGAGAGTGCAAGACAGCACAAGCAGGGGTAGCAGAAGAGGGAGAAGCAGGCTCCCCTCCTGAGCAGGGAGCTCAACTAGGGCCTCCAATGCAGGACTCCAGGATCATGACCTGAGCCAAAGGCAGATGGTTAACTGACTGAGCCACTCAGGTGCCCCCTTTTTTTGCATTTAAAAAAATAGCCTTTACTTAACAGAAAAAAATACACGGAGTCACAAGTGTTCCTAGAATGTGGAATACATGTTTTCTGACAAATTCTTTTCTACCTTTTTTTTATCAACTCCATTTATCAATCCTAAAATGCTGCATATTTTTTTGAGAACATTCAAAACCCTTCATTCACTCCACAAGTATTTACTGCCACCCTTAACCTACCATGTACTCCTACAGGTGCTGGGAATTCAGCAACAAGACATTCGGCTTGGCCAGGAAATCACCATTAAGACAGACTCGGTCAGTTACCTCACCAGCTCTGTTCTCTCCATTTCCATTCCTCAGCCCCAACCGAATCTCTTCCCCATGTAAGCATTTGCCTCACAGAAAGCTGATACCACCTCCAAGGGTGGTCCTGATTATTTTCTCCCCAGCTTTCTTGAGATAAAACTGACAAATAAAAATTGTGTATGTTTAAGGTATACAACTTGATGTTTCGATATTAGTACACAATGGGAAATGATCACCAAAACTGTGTCAATGAACATATCTACCTCACGTATTTTAACCGTTTTCTCTATCTTAGCAAATCTCAAGCATCCAACACGATATTGATAACTAGAGTCACCATGTTGTACATCACATCCCAGAACTTATCCATCTTTCCTAACTGAAACTTTGTATCCTTTATCCTTCAAGTCTTTCTTACACACACACACACACACACACACACACACACACACACACACACACACGGTTTTCCTTTGACCTCACGTTTTCTTTGCACTTTCCTCCTCAAGGTGTTCACATTCACTCAGCCCTTCCTTAACTCCCATTCATTCCTATCTGCTGCAGTTCAGCTTCTCACTTAACTAAAATGGCCCTTTCAGTATGGTCTTCAAAGGTCTCACGGACAATTCCATGGATATTTTTCAGGACTACGCTGACTGCTCTGCAGCGCTTAGCAGTGATAACTCTCAGAGGCCTCTTTTCTTGCTTTCTGGGACAATACACTCTCCTGGCCACTCTCATCCCCTCTTAGTTTTAATCCTAAATTGCCTCTGATGAAAGTATCAACAAGCAGCGAAGGGCTGGAAGGCAGGAAGCATAAGGAAGAAAGTAAAACAAGAGATAAGAATAATCTGCTGGCCTGTGGAGAATCAAATGCTAACTGAAATAATCAGACTTACGTGTGTGAGTACAGCCCACAAGTCATCATCAAACCTCATTTTGTAGGTGAAGAAATGTAGGGTGAAATTTTTAATGCAACCTATGGCACAAGTTTTAAGACCAGATAAGCTGGCCATTCACGCTACAACCATAAAGGAAAGGCTGACACCATCTTTCCAATTTGCGCCACCTTTGCTTAAACACGTGAGTTCCACTTATCATGTTCTTGTCTTCACTATGTACAAAGGCATATACATACATATGCAACTGCCCTACTGATGCAGAATGCACAGTCAAAATCTAGGGCCAAGAAGAGCTAAATGCAAAGCACCTTTCTTTAAACTATATTAAAACAGAAATTCATTGAGTATTTGAAATACTCTGCTAAAATGACAAAGTGAGCTATTTATTTTTGCATATGATTTGAACATTTTTTATCTGAAGTGCAAGCAGTCTAAACATGAAGCCTGCTAACTAGACATAACTAAAGCTGCCGCTCCGTTATTGGCTACGATTTTTCCTTATAGCAGTATCAGGAAGCAGCCTGGTATATATACATGACATAACCTTGCCCTACATTTCAGAACAAATACGTTTTATTTTAAATAATGATTTTCAGTGATATGGGTAAATGCTTTAATCTCCCATTCCCTTGCTTTCTTTTAAATTGAATCAGTAATCATCCCAGCAGTTAACCCAAAGCACAGGGATGTTACAGGGAAATCAGTAGTTATTTCTAAGTGTCTGGAGTTCCTTATGAGACAGGTTACTCTGGGCAACCCCACAAATTTCTGGCATTAGACTCAAACAGGCAGTTAGACAGCAGAAGGCTATTCAAGCAAACAGAAAGAAAAAAGGTCCAAATTGTGTATGTTATTTCAAACAAAGACACTCAGATAAATGCAAAGAATAGTCTAGTTTTTAAGAAAAGAAAACAGTAAAGTAACTCAAAAGAAAAGGAGCTAGATATTAGAAAATAACCTTAAGTAAGAGGAAGAGGTTGTTGAGACAGCTTAGCAGAGACAAAAGGCACTGCAGAACAGAGTCATCCATATTCCCACACTGTAAGATAAGGCAGATAAAAAGCCAATTAAACTATGTACAGATTTTTAAAAATTATGTAGGGACGATAACTTGGCTGGCTTATTTGTCCATCAGCAAAAAATTATTTGGTTTTCTTTAAAATGTTTTCTATAGAATTTATGCTCATATAAAATGCAATATTAACATTATTCACCCAAAATTTCCCCTCCAGAACTGAGGCCACCATGATCTCTTTTCTTTATAATGTTCACTCTATAGGTGGTGGAGTATTACTCTAAATAAGTCAGCAAAAGTCATATGAAGAGATAGAGAGCTGTGACTATTCCCAAATGGGAATGATGTGCCATCAGTCTGGTTTTTACCTTTTAATACTTCTTTCAGAGGTATGGCTTCCGTATACAACTAGTACTGCACAGAACGGTAAGCGCGCAGTAGGTGTTTTGGACATCTGCTCTGCCAATGCAGCAAATAATAGATCATGAACTTACTCTTCATGCAAAGTTCAGAGTGCCAGATTATGCTTTGGATTTCACTGATTATTGCATTACTTCATAAAGGTTAATTACATTATAACAAAGAAACAAATGAAAGAATTTAGTATGTTATAAAAGCCTCTACCATTACAACTATTTTAAATAATTTTCCATATCTACCATCTTAGAATTTTGCCTAAGATCATGTTGCCTGAGATCAACTTTCTATACTGATAAAGGCACTTATTCTTAACATGTACAGATACCAATAAAAACAGTCAAGAACTGGAAACCATGGTAAATGATTGGTTTCATTACTTAACCATGTTTATAGTATCTACAGAGAACATCAAAAGCAATCTTCTAACCCTGGTATAGCTCAAATTATGAGAAAAATTATGCAAATATACTACATATAACAAAAGTAGCTTTAGTTACTCATTCCACTAAATCAAAACAAGGAAGGTAAGAAGGCAGCTAACTAAAAATGAATATTATGGAAGATAAATACCTTTAGTTGATTGTTAAATGAATCCATTTCGGATAGCTTAGATGCAGTTTCTTTTTCAAGAGCGTCTAATTGTTCTTTAAGTCTTTGGCATAATTCTTCCTTTTCCAATGATTTTTTATGAAGCAAACCAATCCCTAAATCTGAAATACAAACATCAGATAGTTTACATTTGGCAGAAATTCTACTGTTACTACTGGTGATTGACTTTTACTCTCACAATATATCTAAGTCAAACTCCTATGACGCCACCTTAAACTTGCACAGTGGTGTATGCCAATTATATTGCAGTAACACTGGAAAAAAAAGATGTATAAATTTAAAATTACTCCATGGTTGTCTACATGATGGCTATTTCATAACTTATGTAACTATTCCCTTTTGGACTGCCATTGGGTTGTTTCTAATTTCCTACTATTTACACGGAAATGCTGCAATAAATACCCTCGTCCAGGTATTTGAAAGCACACGTGCAAGTATTCTACATGGCTAGGAGGTGAATGAACTGCCATGTAAAATGATTTGAGCACTTTAAATTTTGACAAAAACTGCCAAACCGTCTTTCCAAAAAGGAACACGAATATAAAATGACACCAAAGTACCTGTTTCTGCACACCCTCATCAACACTGGATATTATCAACCTTTTGTCATTTTCTCCAATGGGCAAAAAAAGAAACCTTATTGTTATTTTAATTTGTATTTCCTTTATAACAACTGAAATCAAATCAACACCTATTTATAGGCTCACTGGCCACCCTCTTGGATTGTCTCACCCCATCCACTGCCTTTTTTCTTCCTGTTGGGTTGTCTTTATTTCTGATCTGCAGCAGCTATAAATTCTTGTTGTACTGTAGTTCCAATGCTGCGCTGTTTATCGATGTCTTTCATTATGAAAAAGTTCATTTTTGTATCATCGAATCTGTAATATTTTCCCTCATAGCTCTAGGGATTATTTGAAGAAATGTTTCCGACAGTGAGATTATAAAAAGGTTTTCCTTTGTTTTTATAACATTTTTTTCTAGACGTATTTTTTTATGTTTAGCCTCTTAGCTTACCAAGAATTTATTTATGTACATGGGCTGATGTAAAGAGCTTTCCTACCTCCCTTTCAGAGAGTCACCTGTCCCCCAGATCACTTATTTGGAAGCCCATCCTTCCCCCATTGGTATTAAAGGCCAAACTTACCAAATCTCACAATTTAGAGTACGATAAGACATATATTTAGTTCCATCATTCTGTGTTTCCTTTCCGATCAATAATACTCTACTTTAGGGACTAGAGCTTTCCTAACATGTTTTTTTAAATTTTTTAAAATTTAAATTCAATTAATTAACATAAAATGTACTATTTCTTTCAGGGGTCCTAACATGTTTTGATACCTGGTAGAGCTAGTGTGCTCTCCCCACCAATGTCATTCTTTTTCAAGTCTTGCCTAATCTTGCATGTTCTCTTCTAGATGAATCTGTGAATTATCTTGCCAGGTTTCATTTAAAGAAACCTGAATGGAACTGAATGTACGGGACAAAGTAGTAGAGAATAACATCTTTACAACGCTGAGCTATATCAGCGTTCCTGAGTCAGGAACATAACATGTAGCTACTTATCCAGGAATCTACTAATCCATGTAAAATTTTACAGCTACACATTTCTTTATACATAATAATGAGAATCCTAATGTAAATGAGACCTTTGTTCATGATATTTTCTTTTTTTAAAGATTTTATTTATTTGACAGAGAGAGATCACAAGTAGGCAGAGAGGCAGGCAGAGAGAGAGGAGGAAGCAGGCTCCCCACCGAGCAGGAAGCCCCTGGGATCATGACCCGAGCCGAAGGCAGAGGCTTTAACCCACTGAGCCACCCAGGCACCCCTGTTCATGATATTTTCTAAGTGCTTTTTTTTTTTTTTTAAAGATTTTATTTATTTATTTGACAGAGAGAGGTCACACAAGCAGGCAGCGAGGCAGGCAGAGAGAGAAGAGGAAGCAGGCTCCCTGCTGAGCAGAGAGCCCTATGCGGGGCTCGATCCCAGGACCCCGGGATCATGACCTGAGCCGAAGGCAGCGGCTTAACCCATTGAGCCACCCAGGCGCCCCTCTAAGTGCTTTTGATATACAGTAAAAGTTGCTGATTTTTACATGCTTTTTATCCAGACATCTTGCTAAATTCTCTTATAATTATCTTGTAGCTTTCCAGTATTTCAACAAATATTTTCTCAAGAAATTACACCTCCGCTATGTGCAAGGCACTGTACTAGGTTCAATAGCAGGGGAAAAAGAAGGACAAGGCATGGGTCCTAGTCTCAAGTAGTTCAGAGTCTATTTCAGTTAGGAGACAAGCACTGTGGAAAAAATCAGTTAATTTACACTCCTAGTACTCTTCAAAATGAGCATCACGGATAATGGATGTTTCAACACTGGATTTGAACAGATCATATCTATGAGCAAACTGAAAATCCAGAGAGGTAATGTGGTGGTAAGTGGGCTTCAGACTGAGACAAGAATTTGAGAACGACTATTGTACCACCTTGGGCAACCACTTAATCTCTCTGAGCCTCAGCTTTGCTGAGCTACACAAGGTGAATAACAATACCTACTTCACCGGACTATTGTAAAAATTAAAAGACACAGTTCATGAAAACTGCCCAGCATGGTGCTTGGCCATGGTTGGTAATCTTCAGCGGCAACAGGGATGCAGAGAGGAATCTAAGGGATACAGGGTGCTTTGAAAACTGCAAACAAAAGCTTCCTGTTTTGAACCAATAACTGTACTAACAGGTGGATCGCATTCTGTAAGAAAGACTAGCTCTACCAGGTCTCCAATAAGACACAGTCCACATTCCATTCACAGTCCAAATACTGCAACAACGAGAGTGATGCTATGCTCTCTGTGACTGCACAGATCAGGAGGGCTGCTCATCCAGCCTCTGGAATGCCTGTGGAGGGCTGAGGTAGGGGCTGATATGCTTCGAACAGCCAAGAAAACAATTACGTGGAAGGAAGATGGTCTGAGAAGAGACGTGGACAGACTGTTTCAGTGGAAGGTGGGAGACACAGCAGGAACAGTTCACAAAAGTAAAATTCTCTATGCTAGGTATTTCTTCCAAGTGAAGGGCCCTTCACTAGGACACCATTCTCAACTTCTTTCTACCCCTTCAGTAACTGGTGGGCTCACGATTAAGGACTTGGGCATACACAGCCTAGACCCTTCCAGTCCCTCGTGTTCTTGAGACTGAACTGCCCACAGGAAACCTGTTCTACTTTGTTGTACACCCAGTTTTTACAGGGGTGACTGTCCCACTCACAGGTAAGCCAGGCTGTCCAATATCAGCTTTACCAAAAATGAGGCAATATTTTGGTCTCTCATATGTCTTGCTCCTTTGCCTTATTTCTCTATTCGTTCAGAACTTGGGCAAAGATGAGGGATGTTGTTTATTGGACTTCCTAAAGAGCCAGAAGTATAAGAAAGAGCCCCAGAATGGAAAGACTGACAGATACTCAAAGGGAGACATTTAGAATACTTCAGTCAGTTCTAACATGGTATTTGCAGATTTACCTTTCTTTAAGTAAACCTTTCTTCTGTTATGTTGTTACTGGCATGCTATCCAACATAGAGATCTTTTTTTCAGTATCCTGGTTGGACCTTGGGTCAAGAAAAATGTGACATTCCACAAATTGCCTTGGACTATTTTGCTCCAAAGGTGTCAGCGGGCCAAGCCAGTAAAAGTCTTTATATGAATCAGTTAGGTGATATGAAAGGTCTGGGAAGAGCGTTCCATTCTGCTTAGGTCTAATACTGCTATACACTATCACCCAGAATTTCACAGGCTTGGTCCCATGGTAGAATTTCCTGAAAGTTCTTTCCATTAGTGTAGGATTTTGCCAGAATGTACATACAGTCTTGTGTTAGAGCCAAACCTAGATCTTATTTAACTGTAGTCTAACATTTTATTTGACTGATATTTGAAACATATGTTATGAAGATAGGAAGGCATACCACAATGACTACTTATTTCATTCTTATTTATTTATAAGGTTTTTTTTCTCATCATAGCACATACCCTCCCTAATGTCCATCACTCAGCCACCCCATCTCTCCCACCTCCCTCCCCTCCAGCAGCCCTCCGTTTGTTTCCTGAGATTGAGTCTCTCATGATTTGTCTCCCTTTCTGGTTTCATCTCGTTTCATTTTTCCCTCCCTTCCCCTATGATCCTCTGTCTTGTTTTTCAAATTCCTCATATCAGTGAGATCATAAGCTAATTGTCTTTCTCCAATTGACTTATTTACTTTTTATTGTTAAAGATGCTCTAACATCTGTGATTTTTTTTTCACATTATTTTGAAATTTTTAACTACAGAAAAGAAATGCTATGTATAACAGAATAATGTTATTTTAATAAGTAACAGAGTATGACTGGTACGGTCATTCAGAAAATAAAAGAGGTAAAACAAACCTTAGAGACTTACCAGGTGTGTTACCGAGTTGCATGTTCTTAATTCTTTCATTTAGTAACTGCTTCTCAGGTACCAAATAGATAAGCTTATTTTGATAATCCTTATTAAAAAAAAAGTAGTACCTGATTAAAATTCTGTCATGTTGTCTGAGCATTTTTTGAAGACTTAAAAACATGATTTAATCACTCTTAAAACTTAGTATAGGAATATATGAAGCTGTAAACCGCCTACAATTTACGAATAAATTAAAATGGAATTATGCATGATTTAAAATACAAATATTTAAACATACATCCATTTATGAATGACTGGCTGGAGTAAAGGTGGTGAGGAAAATCTTTGTTAATGGCGTGTGTCTAGAAGTCTTACAATTTTCAGTGTACTGATGGATGTCCGCAGGTACAAGGTGAGAGGTGCCTTTGCTATCTGCACTAAATGGTATTTGTAAGCAGGTCATGACACCCCAGAATGAATATCGAAGAGAAATTAGAGACTCAGGAATTAGGGAAGCAGGTTTAAATCAGACAGGAAATGTTATCTGGCCTCTGTCTGTACCAGCTGTGACACAGTAAGAACACTTCGTTAATTAATTGCTAGTCCATACAGAAGCAGAAATTTGGTTAAGAGGACTCTAAAGATGCAGAATGCTCCCAGGGTCCTTATTCTAAACCACGATAACTGAGCTAGACCTTACTGCACAGGTAAAGAAGATGACGAGGTCCCTGAGGGACACACATTTAACACTCTTCACTGCAACTGTGAAAGAATAACATTAAGTCAAAATTTCCTAAAAGTAGTAGCAATAAACTTAAGTTTAATGTAGAGGTATATTTATATATTTATTAAAGACTTAAAAGTCAAAGTGAAAGGCATCCATTTATGTACAAATATTAAGCAGAATTTAACCAGATGTCTAGTAGAGTCTTAGAGGGCATATGAGCTTCCTGATATTATATACAAGATGGTGTATATATTTACATCCTTCTAGGAATGAAGTCTATCAGAGACCCAGAGGGGTTCATCACCCCAAAATGAAAACTATTCTATTAGGAAGAATTATTAACAACTGCTCACATTTATGCACAATTCAGCAGCAAGGGACTAACCTGAAGTTCTTGTTGCAGTTGCTTGATTTCCATGATTTCCAGGTCACATTGCTTATCTAGAACTTCTAGCTCAGTCTTTTGAGTTTGTTTTCGGAGTCGGACATCTTGAAGTCTGCCTGAGATCTGCTGATGTTTGCCATTCTATAGGAAGAGCATATAAACATAGGGTGACTTAAAACACTAATAGAAAAAGCTCCTATCAGAAGAATTATATTCTCATTTTAACTTTTAAATGTCATTTATCATTTATACTCAGTCTAGATAAATATCTAAAACTAAGTCGGGGAGGGCACCTGGCTGGCTTAGTCAGTAGAGCATATGACTTTTAATCTGGAGGTGGAGCATTCGAGCTCCACATTGGGCAGGGAGCCTACCTAAAAGTAAGTAAATACAACTAAGTGGAATGCGTTCTAAGGTTGTATCTGTTAATTCCGGACAGAGTTATTATTAGCAGGAAATATACCATTCTCAGAGCGTAAGAGCCCAGATGCTAATATGACCAAGCACAAACATAGCATGCTGAGTTTTTTCTGAATCCAGCAATGAGGCATTAATTTATAATATTAAAATAGAGGTAGTCTCAAAGAATAATGAAGAGAGATAAACATCTACATGCGACTTTCGGCACGGTCTCCTTTAAGCTTCTGAAATTTCTACTCTCCACGTTGCCATCTAATTTCCTCTAATTAAACAGGGTCCAGGAGGGCCTTTTTGGCCACAATTCTCTTCTCCTACACCAAATATTCCTTTCCTCTTCTCTGAGAAGTAGGGAGAAAAAAAGAACCCAAACTAGCAGAGATTCTTTTTTTTTTTTAAGATTTTATTTATTTATCTGACACAGAGAGAGACAGTGAGAGAGGAAACAGAGGAAGAGGAAGTGGGAGAGGGAGAAGCAGCCCTTCTGCCAAGCAGGGAGCCTGATGTGGGGCTCGATCCTATGACCCTGGGATGATGACCTGAGCTGAAGGCAGACGCTTAACGACTGAGCCACCCAGGTGCCCCCCAAACTAGCAGAGATTCTTTTTTTTTTAAATTAAATTTTATTAAATTTTATTTTTTATAAACATACAATATATTTTTATCCCCAGGGGTACAGGTCTGTGAATCGCCAGGTTTACACACTTCACAGCACTCACCAGAGCACATACCCTCCCTAATGTCCATAACCCCACCCTCCCCTCCCAAACTCCTCCCCCCATCAACCCTCAGTTTGTTTTGTGAGATTAAGAGTCACTTATGGTTTGTCTCCCTCCCAATCCCATCTTGTTTCATTTACTCTTCTCCTACCCCCTTAATCCCCCATGTTGCATCTCCTCTCCCTCATATCAGGGAGATCATATGATAGTTGTCTTTCTCCGATTGACTTATTTCGCTAAACATGATACCCTCTAGTTCCATCCACGTCATCGCAAATGGCAAGATTTCATTTCTTTTGATGGCTACATAGTATTCCATTGTGTATATATACCACATCTTCTTTATCCATTCGTCTGTTGATGGACATCTAGGTTCTTTCCATAGTTTGGCTATTGTAGACATTGGTCTAGCAGAGATTCTTAATGGAGACTAAGGAGAAGGGTGAGGTGTTATGGGCTGAAGTGTATCTCCCCAAAATTTGTATGTTGAAGTCTTAATCTCCAGGACCCAGAATGTGACTGTTATTTGGAAACAGGGTCTTTAAAGAGATCATAAGGTTAAATAAGGTCATATGGATGCGCCCTAATATAACCTGACTTATGGCATGAGAAAATCTGGACATAAAACAGACACCAGAGATGCGCAGGCAGAGGAGGGACCGTGTAAGGAAAACAACAAGAAGGCAGCATCTGCAAGCCAAGGAGAGAGGTCTCAGAAGTAACCAAACCTGCTGACATCCTGATCTTGGACTCCAGACTCCAGAACTGTGAGAAAATTAATTTCTTTTGTTTAAGCCCCCCAGTCTGTGGTATTTCGTTATGGTAGCCCTAGCTAATACAGCAAGGTGAGGAGGAGAAATGAAGCTTAAAAATCACTGATAATTAAAGTTTTTACTGAAAAGTTAGTTTTATATTTGAGAAACACACATGCTAAAAGGAATATGCAATGTCTACCCTAGCGTTCATGTTCCTATCTTCAGCAGGTGCAGGCTCTGGACCTTCCAGACTCTTCACATTAATCTATGTTACTGCTTGGTATGCAATCCAGGTTCTTGGGGGAAAAACAATCAATCATAAGGTACCCTTTTATACTTTTAAGGAAAAACATAGTTAAAATAATGGTTCAGACAGAAATCCAAGTAACTACACAAGTTAAGGATTTTTAGGCCTGTTCTGTAGTACTGTGGCATGAATAATAATTGTGATATGCTTTCTTATCCATTTGAAGGCATAAGATAGCACCTTTATGGCCACAAATGTTGTGATTTTTAAAAATTTTAATTTCAAGTCAGAAACCAAATAAAATGTTAGAATCCAATTAAAAAAGATCTAAGCTTGAATCTACAACATGGCTACACATGTATTTTTTTCAAAATCCTATTACACTATCAGGTCAGGCTGTTAGAATCTAGGGTTAAACCTATACCCTTTCTATCTTCTCACCTTGCATTTGCAGCAAAGCCATTTATTTATTTATTTATTTGCAACAAAGCCTTTTAAACAACTTGACTCTCTGACATCTAAAGTGTAAAATCTGGTAAGCATACTGGCCAATATTAGCTAAAAACCACAGTTCGGCAGAACTGGAAGAAGTCCTAAGAGATCGTTTAGATCAGGAGCTTCAAATCGTTTTTTCTTTTTAGCAGAATCCTTTTTTCCAAGCAAATCCAGATAAAACTCCAAGAAAAGCAAAGCAAGTAACTGTGGAGCCTGTGTGTTGCGAGTGATGCGAAGTGCTGGGGAGAAGGGAGCACTGCCCTGCTGCCTTGGCTTCCCCCCTCCCACTGCTGGTCACCCCTCTGCAGACCACTTCTAGACATCAACTTCAAAACTGAAAATTACTAAACTAAAAAAAAAATTTTTTTTACCAAACTGACACAACTCTTTATTTTACAGATGGCCAAAGCAACACACAGAGAAGGGACGCCTTGCCCAGGAATAAACAGTTTGGGAGCTTCTGCACTGAGACCACAATGTAACTCTCAGCACTCTGAGTCACTGTTCTGGTAAACTATATTGTCCAGACTGTTAAGAAGCACACATGAAACCATGACTATTCAATCCCATGAAAACATAATGTATTCATGAGGTGGGTTTAAAAAGCAATGACAGGGACGCCTGGGTGGCTCAGTCAGTTAAGTGTCTGCATTCAGTTCAGGTTATGATCCCAGAGTCCTGGGACTAAGCCAGCAAGGAATCTCCTTCTCCCCCTCTCTCCCCCTGCTCCCCACTCCCTGCTTCTGGCTGCTCTTTCTCTCTCTCTCACTCTCTCTCTCAAATAAGTAAATAAAATCTTAAGAAAAAAAAAAAGAACAATGATTTTCAACAGGTAACTCTAGCATCATTCAGAGCAATTTCACTCAAACCTCAGGCATACCAGTGCTTCCAACTCGAGATGAAGACTCTTCTTTTTAGAGTTTAACCTGACAATTTCTTCCTGTTCTCTATTCCTTTGATTGAGAAGCTCCTGTCGACGAATCCTCTCCCATTCTATACGACGTTGTCTTTCTAGTTCCTGTTTTGCTGCCTGAAAATAATGAATTTTTTTAAAAAAGATTTTATTTACTTATTTGACAGACAGAGATCACAAGCAGGCAGAGAAGCAGGCAGAGAGAGAGAGGAGGAAGCCCCGCTGAGCAGAGAGCCAGATGCGGAGCTCCATCCCAGAACTCTAGGATCATGACCTGAGCTGAAGGCAGAGGCTTTAACCCACTGAGCCACCCAGGCGCCCCAGTGAATTAATTTTTAAATTAACAATTTTGCCTCATTCAAAAAGTGATGGGAGGACAAAGAGGTGAGGCAGCGTTTGGCATTTAGTGAGCTTCAGCGTCTAAGTTAGGAAACTGGGCAAACCCAGTTTTAGCAGCAGGCCTAACCTACGGACTTCCACAAAAGCAACATCACCCATCAGACTTTTTGACTGTTTCATGGGACCATCTTCTTATTTGTAGTTACTTTTTCTTAAATAAAAAGACAATCTCAGAAATAGAAGTGTTAATAAGAATAATTATACCTTTATTCTGGTATCAGGGAAGAAAGACCCTTCTCCTGACATTACTTCAGTGTTATTATAATTTCTGTGCTCCATCCCAAGCCCCTTAAAACAAAGCCAGTCCTCCTAGGGACACCACAAAACAGCATTTATCCCAAGGACCTGTAAAAGCCCACCCTTGTGCTTCTCCTCCGGACTCCCCAGTCTCAGCTTTCTGGGGCTCCAATTCCGTGGCCTCTTCCTCTGGATCCCAAGCTTACTTCTGTTCATGCCCTGCCTGGACGGACTCCTTCCTCTGGCTCACTAACCTCAGCTCCTCACTCAACTCAGCTCTGCGATCAGTCCTCCTGTGAATGACTTATCACCTGCAGACAGGCCTCCTCCACCAGGTACTGGCCCTGAAAACCCTTCACAAGCAAGGGCCCTCTTCCCCTCCGCAAGGGAAGGAAGGCTCAGAGATGGAGACGATAAGTAAGAATGAATGATGCAGAGAAAGAGACACAACAAAAATACCCATTTTTAAATCAAATGGAATAAAGTCACTTATTAAATATAATCATTTTCTGAGGAAACAAAATAAGTTAAAAACAACCTCTCGTCTTTCTATCTCTTTTCTCCTTTCTTCCTCCCTCTGTCTTTCCAGTTCCCTCTGCTTCTCCAAGCGTTTTTCTAATTCAAGTTGCTTCTTCCATTCTTGCTCCTGCAATTCTCTCTGTTTGCGCTCCCACTCTTCCTTTTCTTTCTGGGCCTTCCGTTCTGCCTCCCTCTGCTGCTGCTCCATCAGCGCTTGGCGTCGCTTCTCCAACTCCACGTTTCCTCGCTCGTAGTTGGCCTTCCGCTTGTCCTCAAAAGTAACTAAATAAAACATGTTGTAAGCACTCTCACATGAACAGCCCAAAAATGTGGACTCCAGTTTCAACATCCTCATGGCTCGTGATCATTTGAGTGCTGTTACTCTGTGGATACTTCCCCTAAGGATAGTTTTAACTCAAATGTAAACAGTAAAATATTTACTTTTGTCTAAGAGGATTCATTTTTGGAAAACAAATTTCTAAGTTTGAATCCATCTGAGAGAGAAATAATTTTGCTATTCCTGCCAATATAAATACTAACTATTTTCTCAGTATTTTCTTAGGATAAATAAAAGTTATACGGCTATATACTTTTTTTATTTGATATAGTTCATTAACTTTTTAATACTTTAAAATATCTACATATGTACTTTTTCAACCAATATTTAAACTTTTCTTTACAGCTGAAGATTTCATCACAAAGCTTGCTGTAGTGATTTTTCCTAAAGTGGGAGGAACATTTTAACTAGGATGTCTAATACAAAGACTCTTGCCAAACACATACACTGTCTCTTCTTCCTAAATATACTTCTCACTTTTTACTATCTTCAGTTTATTGATGTCGGAATCTAACCCTTTTGTTGAATAGTTTTCTCTTATAGCATATAAAATATTAAGAATGTAACATACTAAATACTTGTTTACAACTCAAGGTAAAATTTAAGAGAACCCACTGTAAACATACAACTTAGACATTCAATGTTACCTGGTAATTTTTTCTGAGGTTCCTCTTCTTGAATTTTCTGATATGAAGGCAGAGTTCCATTAATAGAATCAATTTGCTTTCCTCCCCTAAGAAAAGAAGACAACAAATGAATTTAGCACCACACAATCCGGAGATTTCTAGACTGTATATACAGCTGTACTACCAATGACTAGAGCCACTGAATATTTAGAATGCAGTATTAAAGACACTTAGAGTGCAATATGGTCTAGAGTTATGATGTATGGCAGGATACGGACTGTCTAGCCAGAGAGGCTTGGATTCACATCATGGTTTAGCTGACTGCTGTCCGTGAGCAATTGTGTTCTTAATCTGTAGCTGCCAGTTTCCTTATCTATAATACGGTGGAAACACACCTATTTCTACTCCTTGCTGGTGTAACTCATTAAATACCAAAATCAAATGTCAGTGTCAATGTTTAACTTCCCACTAAACTAGAGCAGAGGCCTCAGGAGATCGCAACATAATCATCATGTCTACCCAGGAATCAAAACCATGCCTCTTCACCTCAAGAGGCGCCCACCTGAAAGACGGAGGGACAAGCTCAGGAGGCAACGTCAGTGGTAACGGTTGTCCGGCTTTGGCCATGTCAGTGAGGTGCATCGCAAGGATGAACTCTTCAGCTCTCAGCTGTCCGTCACCATCAATGTCAGCCAGGGTCCTAAAGGAAATGTGAATGTTCACAGCTTATAAACAGTCTACTTAGAGTGAAGTATTTTCAAAAGAGTTCAATATTTAATTTCAAAATAACAATAATTACAATAAACAGTTGGGTTAACATACTTCAGTGAAATATAAATATACATGGAAAACTGAGCTTATTTTTACCGTTCACTGTTCTATCACACAAGGGAGGGGAGAAATTTGGAAGCAGAAAAAGAAACATTCCTTCTGAAAAGGTGGCTTGTCTCATTTCATGGATAATTCACCTATCAAATCACATTTAGCTCTAAATTATAAATGAGACATTCTCTAATTCTCCACAAATGCCATTATGAAAAGGCAAACCAGTTTTACTTGCAAAATAATTAAATGTTACATTGCCAAAAAATAACAATTTGTACAATTTTATTGGCTTTTAGGGTTGCATCAGGCTTCAAATGGCTGCTTTTATGGAACATCTTTGAGTCACAAACTTTGACAGAAAGAGTATTTTTCCAACAACAGAGGATGTATAGTTAAAAATCATGATCAATGGACAAACTCACCAAATAGTAGCTAGCTGAGTTTGGGAAAGATTTGACTGAAGAAGAGCATTTCTAGCTTGAAAACCTGATTGAGTGGGAAAAAGCAGAAAAAAGAAAGAAAATTCTTTAGCCTCCTCAAAGTCAAGCAAACTGAAATGACTGTATTCCATAAAATAATACTGCTGCTATCCTGGAAACTTTTGACATTAAAAAGGTTTTACCATGTGCCAGCTGCTGAGCATTGGGGAGTAATCAAAACACAGTAATCAAGACCCTTGCCCCCAAGGAATTTAAAATCAAGAATTAGTAACTCAAGTGTTCCCCCATGTCCTTTCAGAAAATAGCAAGTACACACCACTGACCAGCACAAAGGTCCTAGCTCTGGCACAGAAATTGCTGGAGGCTGAGCTCTTGGGCCTCCTCGTGCTCCCTGTGCACCTCTACGCACTGCTTTCTTAGCATCTTCAGACTTTCTCATCTCTGTCTGATCTTTCCTCTCTCTCTACTTTCTCTTTTCCAAGCAACCTGTAAATGCTGGCATTCCCCAAGGCTCTGTTTTGGGCACTCTGTTCTCTCTGTGTGTTCACATTCATTTTTGTGACTTTAAATAGCACCTAGATAATTTGCAAATGTACATCCCAGCCCAAACCTCTGCTTTAGGTTTAGGTTTCTATACCCAACTGAAAAACCTGCTGAAGTATTTCACAGGCATCTCAAACCAAATACATACAAAATGACTCTCTCAATCCCCATTCACAGCCCTTTTCACCCAAACAATTTACCTTCAGCCTCCCCCTTGCTCTGGGTGACATCACTGTCCCACCAGGGTCTCCAGCCAGAAAGCAGAAAGTCACCCTTGATCCCTCCCCCTCGTGTACACCCATATCCAACATCAAGTTCTAAAATTTGACATCACTGCATGTCTGGGTCCTCACCCTGAAAGTCCCAATTTAATGCCACCTTCTCAGAAATGTCTTCTCTGTCTGCCCTATGATCTAATATATTTCTTGCTTATTTCTTTCATAACTCATATCACAATCTGTAATGTAACATTTATCTTCCTATTTACCTGTTTATTGTCTGTTTCCGCTATCATACTAAGTCCTATGGACAAAAACCTTGACTGCCTTATTCACTAACAATTGTACCCATTGCCAGGTACATAAATGCTCAATAAATATTTGCTAAAGTGATGAATAAAGTTGTAATCCAAAGTTCTCTAAGGTGCAGTGGGGACTTATGGGATAGAGTCCGAGAGTAATAACAGCATTCACTGAATGCTTATGATCTGTAATAAACTGTTCTAACTTCTTTTCTCTCCCTCAGTCATCAAAAATATGTTTCTGTAACAGGCTTCCTGCCCTGCATTTTCATGTCAGAATGATGGTCACACAGAAATCCCAGGAATCCATTCAGATCTGATTCACAGGAGCATTCACTCCTGATGGCCAAGTGCGGGGCTTTCTGACCGTGGATAAAATGACATGGCTTCTCCAGGGCAGGTCTCCTAGTCAGTAACGCAGGTGTTGCACCTCCCACTCCCAGGTGACGACTGAGCCATGAGTACTGGGAGTCAGGCTCTACTCGGGGTTCAGCCTGAGCTGAGAACCATCCAAACAACTGCACAGAAAACAGTACATCCACCAACTCTTCCTCAGCTCCCACTGCAGAGCCAGCCTGAATGCTGCTAACCCACTGTTTCACTGAGCTTTGAACATGAGATCTGGGTAATCAAAGCTATATATACCATACGGAACAGACATAAATACACCATAAATTATAACATGCAACTGGACGTTTATATTATGTAACTTTAAAATCTCAGTCTTAAAAAAATCTGGTCTTTTAACAGAAATCACGTAAGGAAAAAACAATGCAAATAGCTCATACCATCTCCCAAATAATTAGTCCTCAGTAGATTTCACATAAGTGAGATTTGAGGAGGTCTTTGTGTTAAAAAGAAGACTCTTCTTTTTTTTGGTTGTTTTTATTAACATATAATGTATTATTAGCCCCAGGGGTACAGATTTGTGAATCGCCAGATTTACATACTTCATAGCACTCACCGTAGCACATACCTTCCCCAATGTCCATAACCCAATCACCCTCTCCCTACGCCCCCCCGCAACCCTCAGTTTGTTTTGTGAGATTAAGAGTCTCTTATGGTTTGTCTCCCTCCCGATCCCATCTTGTTTCGTTTATAAGGAGGACTTTTCTAATAAAGAGAAATGGAAGGTTATTTCAAACCTGAAAAAAAGGTCTAGCAACTAATGTTTCAGCTTTTAGTCAAAGACAACTGAACATAGATCCCTTAGCACTGGGCAACAGAGCAAACAGGAGGAAGGAAGGAAGGAATGTAAATGGTTAAAAGCCTACTGGTGGAAGGCTTAAATGTGCCAGGTATAAATCGTACAAAGGGCTATAGAGAGCCAGCAGAGTACTCTAATAAGAAAAGCTCACTTGAACATCTACACTGTTGGTCGGCCAATCCTTTTGATATCATATTCCCTGTGCCTGTACTATAATACTAGTTCCTCCTTCTCTACCTGGTGGACTACTCATCCTATAAGGTCCAACTCAGATGTCATCCCTTCCCTGAAGCTCTTTCATATCCTCACAGCACTAATCACTTTCTCATCTTTATTAATCACAGCACTTTTATTTTTTTATTTATTTTTAAAAAAGATTTTATGTATTTATTTGAGAGAGAGTGAACAAATGAGCAGGGGGAGGAGTAGAAGGAGAGGGACAGGGGCACCTGGGTGGCTCAGTGGGTTAAAGCCTCTGCCTTCGGCTCAGGTCATGATCTTAGGGTCCTGGGATCCAGCCCAGCATTGGGCTCTCTGCTCAGCGGGGAGCCTGCTTCCTCCTCTCTCTCTGCCTGCCTCTCTGCCTACTTGTGATCTCTGTCAAATAAATAAATAAAATCTTAAAAAAAAAAAAAAAAGGAGAGGGACAAGCAGGATCCCTGCTGAGCATGAAGCCCAAAGTGGGACTCAGTCTCATGACAGCAAGATCATGACCTGAGCGGAAATCAAAAGTTAGATGCTTAACCAACTGAGCCACACAGGCACCCCAATCACAGCACTTTTAAACCACTAATCAAATATTATGATTATGTGACCTATATATTATGGACTCCTCAAAGATATGGACCATATCTCCCCCAACCCTGTGCATTTCAGTGTGTTACAGAGGGCCCAGAAGATATGTGACTCAGCAACTACGAGTCAGTGAATTAATCTAAAAAAATCACAAGAGTTAAGGGGGAAGGGAAGGAGAAGAAGAAGAGAAAGAAAATTAGACCACGGAATGCTACACTCACTGAACAAAGCATAACATGTAAGTCTAGGACAGTCCCAGCCTCATATACCTGGGGCTCATGCTCAGTTTCAAGACACAAGAAACACCTATTTAAAAAAAAAAAAAACAAAAACAGGGGCGCCTGGGTGGCTCAGTGGGTTAAAGCCTCTGCCTTTGGCTCAGGTCATGGTCCTGGGATCGAGCCCCGCATCAGGCTCTCTGCTCAGCCGGGGAGCCTGCTTCCTCCTCCTCTCTCTCTCTGCCTGCCTCTCTGCCTACTTGTGATCTCTATCTGTTACATAAATAAATAAAGTCTTTAAAAAATAAAAACAAAAATAACAATAAAAACAACTTTCCCTTAACAATGAATATATAGCTTCATTCTCGTAGGTATCAGGATAATACTCTCTGCAAACAACTCAATATATGACCTTCATATAATGTGGCATATACAAATAAAGTAACATTAGGGGACTAATTCTTCACAGGTGACTTTCCATTGACCTTCATATTCCACCTTTGTTTTTATTGTATGTTTTTAGTACATACATAAAGTGTACTAATCTTAAGTGTACTGCTTGATGAATTTTTACACAGGTATGTACATATGCAACCAACATCCTTATCAACATACAGAATGTTTTTAGCACCTCGGAAGGTTTGTGCATGGTCCTTTCCCAACAGAGTAACTATAATATTCTGATTTCTATCACCATCCATCAGGTTTCCAGTTGCTCAGCTTCATCTAAATGTATTAAATAGTGTGGACCCTTTGAGTCAAGCTTCCTTCATTCAATACATTATCCATGTTGTTGTATGTATCAGGAATTCACTCATCTTTTTGCTGTGAAATGTTGTGTTACAGAAATATTTAATATTATTTATTTATTAAAGTAATTTAATATTATTTATAAATAATATCCACATTATTTATATTGTGTTATTATCAACACAATATTAAATATCCACATTTTTTGGATGTTTTGAATGAAATTATGAACATTTTTGTACATGTCTTTTTAGTCCACTTTTTAATGTAAAATATAGGGCCCAAAGTTCATTTTTTCAAAAAAATGGGAGTTGTGACTTTTCATGAATCTTAAGTGTGTTAAATATCATATTTCACAGAATCTAAGATGCCATCAATTATAAGATATATCATTATTTTATGTAACAGTAAGAAAGAAAAAAAAAAAAACACTGCCAACAAAACCATGACAGTGCTAAGACACCACTGATGGTAACACGTCCTTAATTTCAGAGATGTTAAAATGTTAAAAAAAGGGGCACCTGGGTGGCTCAGTGGGTTAAGCCTCTGCCTTCGGCTCAGGTCATGATCCCGGGGTCTTGGGATCGAGCCCCACATCGGGCTCTCTGCCCAGCAGGAAGCCTGCTTCTCCCTCTCTGTCTGCCTGCCTCTCTGCCTACTTCTGCCTACTTGTGATTTCTCTCTCTGTCAAATAAATAAATAAAAAATCTTTAAAAAAAAAAAAAAAGCATGACTTTAAAATATATCTTATATCAAGTAATTTAATAAAATCACAGAAAAAAGTAACTTTGTACTATTTGATACATATAAAATAACAAATTATAGGTTATGAAGTATGATACAAAGACATGCCTGAACCTACCACCCAAACTTAACACTAGATTATTACTAAATGCTTTGAAGCTATGTTCCACGACTTTATCTCCATACCTCCTTCAGGAGAGGGAACTGCTGTCCTGAATTTTGTGTGCATGACTGCCTTGCCCTTTTCTCCCCCCTTCAGTTTCTAGTGAATCTGACACACATGACCTTAGACGCAAGTGCGGTGGACAGTGCTAAGTGTACAGAAAGGAGCTGTCCAGCCCAAGGCCTGATCACCCCCATCTTGCTTTTTTAAAGTTTTTTTTTTTTTTTTAAAGATTTTATTTATTTATTTGACAGAGAGAGATCACAAGTAGACAGAGAGGCAGGCAGAGAGAGAGAGAGAGAGGGAAGCAGGCTCCCTGCCGAGCAGAGAGCCCGATGCGGGACTCGATCCCAGGACCCTGAGATCATGACCTGAGCCGAAGGCAGCGGCTTAACCCACTGAGCCACCCAGGCGCCCCATTGCTTTTTTAAAGTTTTTAATCACAAATTTATGATGTAAATTTAAAGAAAACATCGTACAGTTTTGCTTGCCCAATCAATTGCAAGGCCTTCTTGCTCCCTTGCCCCACTGCACAATTAAGAGATCCCATACATACATATTCTCCAAACATACCATGTACTTTTTGCTCTTAAGACTTCTCTGTCACCCTCAAATGCTATCACCTTCAATCTCTATCTGTCCAAACCCTAACTCTTCCTTTCATGATGGAGCTGAAATGCTTCCTCCCTATAAGATGTTTTATCTAATCTCTTTAGTATTAGTATCTCCCACTCTATTTTCCCTAAGCACTTTGAAGCTCTAATATTTTAAAACACTTATTACTCTGTCTAAACTATAAATTAGTTGCTGAGTGGAGAGAGAGGGGCAGTTAAAAGGCGGGAACTCTCCTTGGCCTACTACCATCTGTTTATATCCCCTTCACTATCCTGTATTAGAAAAGTTTGCTTCCTCTAGTCTTTGGAGAGGACAGAAGTACCAGAGTATTATGCTCAACCCGGTTCATTCTTTTCTCTTCCAGCAGGCTGCTCCATAAATGTTTCTTGTTTAATCACTTCACCTCCTTGTCACATTCTACTTGCCTGGTACAAATTTTTATTCCTACTCGGCAATAATACAAATCAAAGCTCCAAAAAAAAAGAAAAAGAAAAAAAGAGAAAAGTTTGGATAGTGCTCGAGATGGACTCAAATGTTCTGTAGGGACCTGAGGTCAAGTCTTTTTTTTTTTTTTTTTTTTTTTTTAAAGATTTTATTTATTTGAGAGTGAGCAAGAGAGACAGAGCATGAGTGGGGAGGAGAGGCAGAGGGAGAGGTAGAAGCAGACTCCCTGCTGATCAGGGAGCCCAATGTGGGGCTTGAACCCAGAACCCTGAGATCGTGACCTGAGCCGAAGGCAGACGCACAACCAACTGAGCCACCCAGGCACCCCACCTGAGGTCAAGTCTTACGGGCACCTCTTGGTTGGAACATTCAAGGGTGGACAGTGCTCACAGAGGTTTTAGTAAGGGTAAGCATAGAAAGACCCAAGGAGGAAGAGGACCCGCAGGGAAAAAGCTGAGGTTAAGTCCCACACACTGGAGCTTGTCATAGGAGGTTCTCCTTTCACTGCACTGAAGCGTGACACTTAATCTTCTGAAGGGAGAGGTCTTTTTTCCAAAAAGCTGGGGGTTTACCTGTGTGCTCAACTTCATTGTAAGAACTTCGAACAAATTAGTCAAGTTGTATCCATCTTTGAGCTCTCACACTACTTAAAATAATCTGTATTTACCAAATGCTGCTAAACTTTTTGGATGTTAAAATTTTAGATAAGCTACAAAGTATAAACTCAAATGTTCTTCAGTAGAAATTCATATAAAAAACTTTAACTCTCTCATATTCTTAAGCACTGAATGTCACTTACCTGAGAGGTATCCACTCATACTTTTGTCAAGACTATTAAATTTTTGTCGATATTTTAATCTTGAAGGCTGAGGAACTGCCCACTCTGAGGTCCCAGTCTTGGGCGAGTTCCCTGATAGTGAAGCAGTTGAGGAAGTTGAGCTGTAACAAAATTTATTTAAAATCTTTATATTACTAAATAAAATACATTTAGTTAAACCTTATAAGGCAGAAACATTAAGAATCATACCTTCTATAGTACAATAGTAATTGCTTTTGTGTTTGATATTTTAAAGTTTTAAATAATTTAACCCCATTCTTAGGAAAGCAAATACCATATGAAGTACAGAACTACCGTATACCAAGAACGTACTATGTGCAAGGCCCTGTGTTGTGCTAGGACCTTTATGAATACTATTTCTTATCCCCATGACAAATGTAAAAGGTATTACTGTCCCTGCCTTTTTGATGGGCAAACTATGGCTCAGTGATGTTATGAAAAACAAGGTCATACATTCAGTGAGCAGCTAAGCTGGGATACCCAAGACCCTTATTTTCAGTTAAAGCTAACACTCTTGCTACACTGCTTTGAAGAATGTTATTATGATTTATATGAGGTATGGTGAATGAATACTGAAGCCTTTGTGTTCTCTAAAATTTAAAAGATATTCAATCAGCAGAATTTGCTCAAGAAAAAATTAATGATATACCATAATTATGAAACTTTTTGAGAAACATATACAGAAAGTATATAATTTTGGGCAAAAACTTAACTAATTAAAAACAGAACATTTTTGGTTTATGTGAAACATTTTTCCACACATGTACTAATCCTAAAAATAAAAAATTATTTTATGTGAGTTATAAGTAGTAAATTTACCTTAAATTTTACATTTCGCTATTGTAAAGTTAAAATCTGTGTAAGTTCAGAGCTTGCAAAAAAAAAAAAAAGTCGCTTGTAGATACTCCTTACTGAAAGCATTAAAAGTTGGAGGTTTTAAGCCTTCATACCTACTAGATCCTAGATCAATCAGAGACTGGGCTTTCTGTAAACTAGCACCGCCGCCGAGTCCTCCCATCATGAGACTGTAAGATGACGTATGAGGCAATGCTAAAAAAGGGGGAGGGGAAAAATGAAGAAAGAAAATGGTTCATGCTAAACAATTTCACAAAGTATAAAGGAAATCTATATTTACTGGGATACAAGTGTCCCAGTTTCTTTCTTTGACAGTTTCTCACTCATTAGCTAGAAGTACTTACTTGAAGAAGAATAAGGAATGGATAAAGGCTGAATGAGGCCAGCGGTTCCATTTGGTAGTGATGATGTGCTAACAGAAGGCACTAGGGGAGCAGGCATCATTAAGGGAGGAAGGGTGGTCCCTGAAGTCGCAGAGGATAAGGGGGTTGCCATAGGTGCAACTGGAGGCAATGAGTGAGGAATGGACAGATTGGGCATGCTTCCCATTCCTAGAGACAAAACAGAACATATGTCCCAGTGCTAGCAATGGACTATAAAACACAGAAAACAAACTGACAGTACAGTGAGCAAATCCACATTTACAGAGACACTATGGGCAAATTAGTCTTCTAATTAAAAAGTTCACTAAAGCAGCTTTGACTTAGTAGCAAGGGAGGTACACCACTGCTTTTAATATCAACATTCTGACCTATGTGAACTATGGGAATGCCTTCTAAGAAGTTAAAAGCATATGATGAAAGCTAAGGAACCTTTTCCAATTAAATATTAGTACTCTCAAAGAGAGACTGCATTACCAGATTAAATGTGGGGTTTTGTGTAAGGATAATATAGTGCTGTTAAGTTACTCAACTAACACATACACACATACACATTCCCCCAATGTCCCCCCCCCCCAAAAGGATAGTTACTAGATACGTTAGAAGACCCATTTATGTATATGCATTATTTGTGAGAAGGAAGTATGCCACATATTTCACTTTTCTTGTAAGTAATACATCCATGGATTTAAGGACAATTCTTTAAAAAGAATAAAATGATGACTTTTATTCAGTTACTAACTAGATTACTAGGTACACTCTATGTAAGTATGGTCACACAGTGATCTGGTCTTTATCTCCAGAGCTCACTGCAATAGTGAAAGAATTTAGTATTTTAAGATCTAACATGTAGATTCACAGAATCTAACTGAATGTTCCATACCAATGAGTGCTTCTTATATATAATTAATAAAAAATTGGCTAATCAAAATTAACAGAAAACAGATTCTCTCTGATGAATATATAAATTAATGAGCACAAAGTCTGCAACTTTTAGCCATAAATTTAGCTGGGTAATTAACCTTTAAATTAAAAAAAATTTCTACTTAGGAATAATTTTAAATCACCTCCCAACTTAAACCATCTAAGTGAGTTTAAAATTGTTCACATTTTTTGTGTGACTCATTCGGAGTAGAGAGGAAACTAAGAATAGTATTTAAGATCAGCTCTAACTAGGGGGGGAGGTCAGATACTTTATCATCCAACTGGGAATTGTGAAAGGGAACACTAACCAGACTTGAGGCCAGGACAACAGGCATAAATCAGAACGGTCCCTGGAAAACTGGGACACAAGGACACCCCTGCTATGACAGCGAGTTTAACATCTTATCTCAGACACAATTAACCTGGAGTCTGAGGATTATTGTTTTATGCTAACAAACCCTTTTCTAATCCCTAAATATTATGTATAGGGATCAAGTTTAACTATTAAATGCAGCCAATTCAATTAATAAATACACACCGAAACGAGCAGAAATTAATGGAGAGAACATAGGAGGTTGTTTCATAATAGGAGGGAGGACCACGGGCAACTGTTGGCCCTGCAGCTTTAGCTTGATGAGTTTCATTGCTATGGAGAACTCTTGCTGATCCATCTTCCCATCCTTGTTCAGATCTGATAAAGCCCTAAAAGGATTATGAAGTAGGCAGATTAGTATGTAGTGCTAGCATTATTTTTTAGGATAATAAAATAGAAACAATGACATAACATTCACATACAGATCATCACTTAATAACCACATATATAAAATTAAGCAAATAAAATCCAAAAAGCTAAAACCTGTAAATTAAGAAGTGACCAAAGATCGCATCTAATGAAATACTGCCCATCTACACAGAATCCATGTAAAGAGAATCTATGAGACCTTTGGGATGAATTCCACTAGTGTGGACAGAAAGAAATTACTCAGGAGTATAATCATTCTAAATTTAATTTATTAATTTGCTCAAATATTTATTGAAAGCTTGCTATGTGTCCAGTACTCTACCAGGCGTGGGAATATTCCAAGTGGAAAGAAAGATGGGGTAGCGGTTGACATTTCTTGTAAATGCACTGAAAAACAAAACTCTAGGGAGCCTGGGTGGCTCAGTCAGTTGGGCATCAGCCTTTGGCTCAGGTCATGATCCCAGAGTCCTGATATCAAGCCCCGCATGGGGCTCCCTGCTCAGTGGGGAACCTGCTTCTCCCTCTCCTGCTCCCCCTCTCTTTGTCAAATAAATAAACAAAATCTTAAAAAAAATTTTTTTATAAAACCCTACATAATATAAAGAACAATTCTGTTTAAGGTAGGAGCAGGAAAAGGGAGGGCTAATTTTGGTCTTACAGATGATGAAAGAAAGAAATGAAATAACTACAAAGTAACAGAAAGAAGATTTTGAGAGTTTGCCAAATTATAAAGAAATGTTTTTCAATGGCAATGTATTTATCTTTCCTTAAAAATTCTAAGGACATTAAAAATTTATCCAAGAGAGGGGCGCCTAGGTAGCTCAGTTGGTTAAGCGTCTGCCTTCAGCTCAGGTCATGATCAGGTCCTGGGATCAAGCCCCGCTTTGAGCACAATGTTCAAGTGGGGAGTCTGCTTTTCTCTCTGCTCCTCCCCCCAACTTGTGCTCACTCTCTCCTTAAAAAAAAAAAAAAAAAAAAATCTGTCCAATAGAATAAACCCCAATTATTTTCAGTCATTTACTCAATAAAATTTATTTTCCTACAAGCTGAAGAAATACTTAACAACAGCAGACTATGATGAAAACATCTTTAGATTAACACTGTATCAAAAACAAAATAAAACCAGACTATCAGAAATTTAAATTCATCTACAAGAGAGAACACTTTACCATATTTCAGCTAAAACAGGAGCCGGCAGGCCTGACTGTAAGAAAAAGGTACGTGCTTGATCACCTGAAGGTAATAAAAGCAAAAATCAAGAAGCACATTAGTAAATGGAATTCCTCCAATGCCTCTGAATAATAGTAGTGGACAATAATAATAAAGCTATTGCTTTATTTTCATTTTAATTGCAGTCACTAAGGAATAAATTAAACAAAAATAAGCATATAAAATTATTTACATTACATTAAAAAGATTTAAACAAGAAAGCCACAAATCAAGTTATATGCATTAATCAATGATGAAAGATTACATTATTCATCTTAGGTTTTTCATAATAACTGGTGTATAGCTTGATAATATTTCCAATTAATAAAATTCATAATTTAGAACATTATTCCCTAAAAGAGTTCTAAATAAAAAATACCAGGTGTTGGGAAAGACTGTCCCCCAACTGGTCTCATGGTCTCGCACAATCCTCTACGTCCTTCCGTGTGTGCCAAGAATGCAAGACCCTAACTGCTCTGCACCTGGGTTGTTTCTCAGTTTGGGTTTGTGGTGAGCAATCTTGAGGCGTGAAGAGGTAATGTTTCCCCCTGGCCAAAAAACAAACCTGCTTGCTAAATATGGTGGGTTCCCTCAGGCTCAATGTTTCTGTCCTATGACACAACTGCTGCATTTTTGCCATCCTTTTGGGCTCTCTGCATCACCCTGTGGGACTCAGGGAACAGAGAAGCCTATAGGAACATGCTGATGCTCGAAACACTAGCTGTGCCATTTGTAACAAAGTCCTTTGTCTCTGACTCAGGAACCCTGGGTCTTATGTCGCATCCATGAGACAGTAACAGACTATGTTACTAATTTGTAAGCAGGGTAAGCAAATCCCAGCCATGACACCAGGAAAGGTAGCTATTATTAGAGAAGCACAGATAACATTAAGTTATAATGGCTAAGAGGATGGACTCCAAAATCAGACTGAAAGTTTCCCAGCACAGATCAACACCAACAGCACAGATGTGGTAAATATTAGTCATTACAGTTACTATTACTGGAAATAAAGCATTCAGGTTTTTTGGCACAGAAAAAAAGTTTAATCTATACAAAAAATTTTGAGACACACTTAAATTAATCCTCCTTAGGCTCTGGAGGTCATCTTGCAAGACAAGAGCTAGTGCCGACAATTAACACTTTGTATCACCTCTCAAAAACGGAGGACTAGCATTATAAAAACAGATTGTAGGAAAAAACTTCTAGATTATTTTTGAGGAAATGGGTCTGATACATACTTCTTCTAGACCTAGTAATACCGACCATCATACAGGGAACTGGCACAATGGATTCGGAGCATATTAGTAAGTTTGGTTGGGGAAAAAAGTCTCAATTACCTTAAGAAAGAACTGAAAACGTTCTAGAAACAATGTTAAAGTGGGAAACTGAAATTCTTGGATATCCTTTAGGATCAAGAAAAGATCTTCCGTAAGCCAAATCCAAAACAACAAATTAAGACAGTTGCAGGTAAAATAAGCCACAATTTTTTTAATGCATAAATTCTGACTGATAGGAATTTAATCACTTAGTAATACAAAATTGATGGTAATCAAATTAAAACTAATTCTAAGACAATACATGAAAAGGAACATAACTGACAAATAAAATGTAAATACAAACCTGTTATGTAACCTCCTGAGGGTTTGAGGTTATCAAACTGCTTGTCATGCTTAGTCCGTTCCTCAGAGGTAATAGCCCACATGTTTGGCCCTCCTAAACCAGAAGTGAAAGACAAAGAAATTATAGTATGTATATATGAGAATGCTCCAAATAATTCTAAAATGTAAATATGAATCACAGATGTCCCTGTAGAGACAGTACTCTATCCCTGCATGACACAAACGGTAAAGTTCTATCACAACCATATATATGACACAGCCCTGAGGTTCTTCACTCATTCACCCCATTAACATCTATAGAATGATAACTGTATACCATTCACAAGAAATAGGCAATAAGCTAAATTCTGGAAATAAAAAGATGAATAAGATAGTATTCCCATCCTCTCGTCACACATTCAACATAGCTAATAACGGTCTATATACTTCACTTCTGGCTACCTTTTCAGTTTACTCAACTTCTACCAGTAAGAAACCAAATATGTTTAGGTATATAAATTCATATAAATTTGCTGTTTATGGTATAAAAATCTGCCCTACAGAGTCGCTTCCAGGAAATGCTTATCATTGAAAGGAGGGACCCACTATACTTTGAAACACTAAAACGGATCTGACTTAACAAATACTTCTTAGCCCTAAATGAAAGGATTAAAAAGAATCTATAAACATCCTCTTTTAAAGACAAGCTTTAAGATTAAAGTTAAAAATATAGAAACAGATGTACTGAAGAATCCTAAAACAGCTAAACCTACACACTTTCTAAATAAATACCACACACATAGCAAACTCTTGGTTTATCAGTTTATTATAAAGTAAACAAATTAACCTGTCATGACTCTTGTGACTAGAACTGTGGACCTAGACTGCTTTACTACCATAGGAATCTGGAAAACTGATGACAACAGAAAAACAATGACAACAACACAGGATGACAGAGAAGGAAGCAGCTCACTTGCACTGAGCCCCGACTCTATGTCAGAGACTTTTTATGCAGTACCTCACTGCTCCCACCGCTGCCCTCTACATTAGGTACTACTATTATCCCAACGACACAGGTGAGGAAACCAAAACCCACGGCGGTAAAGTTATTTGTTCAACATCACACAACTAGTAAGTGGCAGAGCTGAGATCGGAACCCAGGTAGCCTGAACTGTGAGCTACACTGTCTCTCGATATTTATGGTTAATATGCTTGTGTTTTCTGTACATTAGCTGCCACCTCTAAAAAGAGGAAGACTGGGGCGCCTGGGTGGCTCACTTGTTAGGCATCTGCCTTCAGCTCAGGTGATGATCCCAGGGTCCTGGGATTGAGCCTCCTATAGGCTCCCTGCTCAGCGGGAAGCCTGCTTCTCCCTCCTCCACTCCCCCTGCTCGTGTTTCCTCTCACTGTTTCTCTTTCTGTCAGATAAATAAATAAAATCTTTAAAAAATAAAAATAAAAACTAGGAAGATTATCTAAGTTTACAGGGTTGTAAAGACTGTATGTAATAAGTAATATATCAACTCTAAAAATAACACTAAATATAATTCATCTATTAGATCGGTAAAGTAACAACAGCTAGCATTTAATGAAACTTGCCATGTGTTAGGTATTTCTCTGAGAGCTTTATGTGCACTGTTTCTAAAAGTCTCGCAAGAATTCTATGAGGTTATTATTACTGTTATTACTGTTTTACAGAGGAGGAAACAGAGGCATGGAGAGATTAGATAATTTGCCCCAGGTATCAAAGTTGGTAAGTGTTGAAGACAGGATCAGAATCCACAGACTTAAAATTAAGAATCTTAAACTATCTGCCCTGACAATAATTAAAAACAAATAAACCCACAAATATGTTGTCACTTGATTTCAACAAAGACGTCAAGATAATTCAATGGGGAAAGGATAACCCTTCACTGAACCCTTCACTGAGAGGATGAAAGAACAGGACATCCACATGAACAACAACAGTAACAACAAATCAAACCATTTCAATCCTGCACCACATATGAAGAGTTAACTCTAAATGGATTATAGAATTAAACACAGGAGCCAAACTGAAAATTTTTGTGATGAAAGCAAACAAAAAACTCTTTGTGAATTTAGATTAGGAAATGATATTAGGACACAAATGACTAAAACTTTTTGTTAAGTTGGACTTTCTCCTTTCTTAAAGACACTGTTAAGAAAGTAAAAAGACAATGGGCGCCTGGGTAGCTCAGTGGGTTAAGCCTCTGCCTTCGGCTTGGATCATGATCTCGGGGTCCTGGGATCGAGTCCCACATCGGGCTCTCTGCTCAGCGGGGAGCCTGCTTCCCCCCTCTCTCTGCCTACTTGTGATCTCTCTCTCTCCCTGTCAAGTAAATAAATAAAAATCTTAAAAAAAAAAAAAAAACAACAACTACAGTAACATATCACTCCATGCCCATAGAATGTCAAATTTTTTTTTTAAAAACTGCTGGCAAGCATGCTGAGCAACTCAAATTCTCACATACTGCTGGTGGGGAAGGAAACTGAGACAATTTACAAAAAAGAGTCTAGCAACTTCTTATGAAGTTAAATATCCATTTCCCACGCAACCCAGCAATAAGCTCCTGGGTAGGGGAGCCTGGGTGGCTCAGTCGGTTAAGTGTCTGCCTTCAGCTCAGGTCATGATCCCGGGGGTCCTGGGATGGAGGTCTGTGTGGGCTCCCTGATCAGCAGGGCGCCTGCTTCTCCCTCTCCAACTCCCCCTGCTTGCGCTCACTCTGTCAAATAAATGAATAAAATCTTTAAAACAAAAACAAAAAAACTCCTGGATATTTATGCAAGAGAAATGACTTTTTCCAGATAAAAATCTGTCCTCTGATGATTTTATAGCTTTAGACATTTGGTTTAGACACGAAAGTTGGAAACAACCTAGATGTTTTCTACAGATGAATGGATAAACAACTTGTGGTACACATTTATACAATGGAATTCTACTCAGCAATGAAAAAGAAAGATAAATACAATTACATAGATGAACTGTGAAAGTATTTTGTTAAGTGAAAGGAGCCAGACACAAATAGCCATGTATTGTGTATTTCACTTATATGACATTCTGGAAAAAGCAAAACTGCAGGGACAGAAATCTGACCAGTGGTTGCCAGTGGCTAAGGGCAGGGTATAGGGGATGAGGGAAACTTCTATGTGATGGAAATGTTCCATATCCTGATTTATATGACTGTATGCATTTATTAAAACCCACTGAACTATATATATACTTAAGAAGGGTAAATTAGACTTCAATAAAGCCAACTTAAAAATAAAACAAACAAACAAAAATACAGCAGCTAATACATACCAGCCACATGGAGGCTGTCAATAAATTAGTTTCCTTACTCAACCCAATGCCAGGGAACAATATAACTAAGGAGAAGTCAGAGCATTAAAATCTTTCTCAGGCTCTTCCCCTTCTGGTAAAGGTACCCTTGCCAGAAAATACTGAGAGCAAGACTGTTTAGTCAGAAACCTCAAGACTATTTTAAGTCTGGAGAGTCTGGTTAGGAAGGTTTGAGCTGCTCTAACACACATCGAGAGAGTGTACATCCCCCCAGGGAGTGGCAAACTGCTTCCTAAGACTGCAGAGGGCTCTGTGGCATCAGAAGGACAGCGCTTTTTTATGTCCCACTGACACTTCACTTTTCCTTGGCTACCTGTCTTTGCAGTGGCCAACTCAACTATCTGATAAGGTCTCTCGTTTAGTTCCAACAACCTTGACACCTTCATACCTATTCAGCCAAAAACGATTTTGGGGCATCACTGTGAATGACTAGGGATACAAGGATGAATAAAATGAATGCTTTAAAAGGAACTCACACACTCTCTTAGCCAAGAGAATCACACACAACAATCATGATTAAATGTTATCATGATTAATGTCACTTATAGAATAAAAATGCCTAAAGTATTATGACAAGGCATAATTTTTAAGTAGTATTTAAATAATCTTTAAATTGGACACTTAAAAAATGACATTAAAACATAAGATGTTAATGCACTAGGAATTTTACACAAAGGAAAAGTTACACAGAAATAAGAAAACTAGAAAATATATGTACTTCAAAAACCATTTTAAAAGAGTTGATCTGGGGCACGTGGATGTCTCAGTTGGTTAGGTGTCCAACTTGATTTCCGCTCAGGTCAAGATCTCATGTTTGTGAGATCATGCCCTATATCCGGCTGGGTGTGGAGTCTGCTTGAGATAGTCTCTCTCTCCCTCTCCCTCTGCCCCTTCCCCCTGCCCCTTAGCTCCTGCCCCACCCCCGCAATAAATAAATAAATAAATAAATAAATAAATAAAATCTTAAAAAAAAAAAAAGTTGATCCAATTCTGGTTTTCTTAGAATATATACTAACCGAACCTTTCCAAGAGTCAACAGTTTATTATTTTGAACTTAACAATAAAAGATTTCCCAATTTTTCTCTGTATTTATTTGTAAGCCTATAGAAAGTCAGGAAAACCTAAGTTTTGGGGTTGATGTTTAATATTTCCTTGAAAAGCCAACATCTTTTTACATTGTCTGATCACTTCAGAAATGTATTAAAAGTCTATCCACTTCCCCCACTCATCACTAAATTGAGAATGTGGTATTTCCATAAAGATTTCTGTTGCTTATTCTCATCTTCTCACCTACTGGCTCTGTCAAAAATGTTCTTATGGTCTACATGGAAGGAAAAACAGACATTTATAGAGTATCCACTATATGCTAAATCCCATGCAGTAGATAGTGTCACCCCTGTTTCACATACATAGACAAACATACATACACATATGTATATGCACATATGGGTACACACACACACACACACACACACACACACACAAGTTCCATAAGGTTAAGTCAACACAGCTGAGTTGTAGCATAGCAGTATCCTAACACACAGTTCTGAAGGTACACGACTCAAACATGCTCAATCCTGCTTGTATGCTGCAAAATTAACTGAAGACTATTTCTGGATCCAGTTCAAAATAATAGTTAAATGATGTATGTCAACCCAGTACAAACTTAAATCTCTAAAACACAACTAGAATACTGGTCTAGATAGAACTAAAGCCTTAACTATGATATGAATAATGCATGCTTGGGCTGTTATAAATGCAGTGCAGTACCACCTCTAATTCTGCAGATCCAATGTTTAACAATTTCCTAATTACACAGATGAAAAGACCAATGAACTCTAAAATTCTGAAAAAGTAATAGAACTCTAAAATGGCACTTTTTCCTCCTAAAGCCATTAGCCATTCTCTCCCTCCCCATCCTCCTTCCCTCTTCCATATTTTGAATATTGCCACTGTCAGGGGCTTCAGAACTTCTTACTCATTTAACCAGTCTTCAGTACCCCCACCCCCCAATTTTAAGGCTGGAACAAGCTACAGTACACTATAATCAACAGGCAGTAACATGAATTTGAAGTAGCCTCTTGCTTATCACCTGATGACTCAAATATCAGGCTCTCTGTGTTTACAGTTTTATTACATTTTTGAAAAGCAGAAAGCAAACCTACCATGATCAAAGAAGACTCTGGCAAGGATGATTCTGCTGGTGCAGAAGACACCAGAATTAGAGTCACGAGTGGTAAAAATATGACGCACTGATCTTTTTTGCTCTGTTGAGGAGATGGGAAGTGAAGCATCAAAGAGACTAAGAAAAGAATATCTACTCAATAGAACTTTCTGAGATGATGTAAATGTTCTGTATCTGCATTGTCCAATACAATGGCCACTGGCCACATGTGGCTTTGAGAGCTTGAAATGTGGCTATATGACTGAGCGACTGAATTTACTTAATTTTTATTAATTTAAAGTTAAGTTGAAATCGTCACATGTAGCTAATGGCTACTATATAAGGCAGCACATCTTTGTGAGAACCAAAGAAGTCTAAATCTGTAGTTAGTCTTGGGATGATGAAATAGACATGGCAAAATGTGAGAAATACATTTGAAGCGTTTAGACACACAGCTTGGTCTAGGGCACTTAAAGACAGGTTCCAACGGTACTGGGCATTGAAAAGATTTAACACCATCTATAATTGAGCATTTACTAGAAGAGCAAACACTGCTTTTGAAAGTTTTGCGCTATATGTGAATGCCTCTTCTAGTAAGATCTTAAACTTTGAATTCGGCTTGAATTAGATATGAGCAAGATCATCTTCAATCTTCAGCTGTATTATAAACTAAAGAGGGTACAAAGTCTACATTTGCTATCAATTCTTCGGAATTTAAAAAAAAAATTACTACCTCTAATCCTTTTTTAACTACCTTGATTCCTAAACGTCACTCCTAAAGTAATTATCCAATATTTTGTCAATATTATTCTTTCATATATAATGCAATGAGCTACAAAGTAGATACACAAATGTTAAGGGAAGGGAAGAAACAGAATGAAGAAAGACTAGGCCTACCTACACTGCTTTCTTTTATGTCCATTTTGTTTGTAAACCTTAACATTTTGATTGAAGTTTGAAACTAAACTATGTGTTTAATGCAAACTCCTATGTGTGGTGTGTAGAAATCCTAAGTTTGGGTAGAGCACATTAGTACTACAATTATTACCCTGATTCTAAACTTATATTTATCACTTATTATGAAGAAAAAAGCCATTATTCAATTTTTAAAAACTGCCTGTGGCATCAAATAATCTTCATAACCCCACAGCATTTCCAGCAAGGCTCACACTGATCTTTAAATAAGAGTTCTGAAAAGGCAAAGAGCAAAACAAAACTCTTATCTCAAGCCGATCCTTACATGACATAGAATTCTACCACACAGAATTTAGTTTTACCTTTTACACAAATAATTCAATTTTCTGAAACTTTCCTAAATCTCACAAGGTCAATCCTTAATCTTAAAATTTTAGATATACAACATGCATTTTTTTGTTAACAATGTGCTTAATTTGGCCCTATGACTGAAAACGTGTTTTTAAAAAGGATGCAACTGATCAAATATAAGATGGGAGCATTAAAACAGAATCATTGTTTGAAAGCAGTAGAATTATTCATGATGCTTCCTTCTTTTTCTTCTCCTAGTGTTCTTTAATATCACTGCTTTCGATTTAAATGTTAAAGAGTTATTGACTAGACTCTCTATTCCTTTATAATTGGCTAATGAAATTTACCACAAATTTAAGAAGTTCACATCTTAGATTTCTTTAGCAATTTAAAAATATAATGCATTTTCTCTCTTAAAAATATAATGCATTAATTCTAAGTGACATACACACTACCTTAATACTTATTAAGGGTGGTTAATTTGTATTTGGGAAAAGAATTAAAACTAGAATAAGAAAAGAAACTTTAAAAACTTTTTGTTACTGAGTTATCTAAACATTTTCTTTAAAAATGTTTCATAGTAAACAATTGTGTGTGTAGGCATACACAACCCTTTAAAAAGGAATACTTAATTTTATGTGCATATTACTAAATGAATCTTTATTAGCTTAGTCAGTTTACAATCATCCTAAACTACTGAAATACCTTCAATAGTCTTCACTTACAGCACTCTGCTTTTTGTCCTCCCATTTTATGCATCAAACACAATATACCTTTAGGTTATTCTTAACTGCTGAAAGGCAAGCACACATTCCAGATGATACAGCAGAACGTGCTTACATTGAGCCACAGGATTTACTGCATAATATTCTAATAGAAGATATATGCAGTGTTCTGAAGTAAACTATCAAAACGTTTTCAGTAAGAATATTTTAAGTTTTGCATTTATTAGCTCAAGGAAAAATATCAAGAGGAATATATTACCACCTTTACAACCCCCCCACCCGGCATAACCTCTTTATCTTTGCACAAGCACAAAGCAGCTTACCATTCATAGCTGTGGGAAACTGAGCCATCATGGTCCTGAATTTTCCTTGCTAGCTCTCAGCCATCTGCAACATAAAAACATTGTGCCATTAATAATACAACAAGGGCAGATCACAGCTTTAGTGCACCAGCTTAGCAGTGGGAATGTCTGTCCCCTTGAGCTCACACTTCCAAGAGGAAACAATGCAGAGCTGCTGCTGCTGCTGAAGGGGCAGGATTTACATTTAGGGAAGGAGGGTAGGAGACTTTGTTGGGTAATGATGCTGCCTTTAAAACAGAAACATTTGTAAGAAAAAACAGTCCCATATTTCATAGCAAATACTGAATAAAGAAACCCTTGGCATGAATCAGCTTTGTAGACATCAACTTGGGAGAGAGGAAGGTTGTTATAGCTAGGCAAGATGCTATTTCAGAGAAATCAACTGTATAAATTAAGTGTATAATAACATGGAAATCCGTAACGTTCTTTTCTTTAAAAAATCCCCAAATGAGAAAAATACCCAAAATAAATGTGGCACAGGGTTCTACAGGTTTATAAAAATTTCCCAGAATTATTATAATATATATGTTTATTTAAACAACTAACTGTGCTGGGCAAGTACCCTGTACTAGGAACAGAAGCGACTTTGGAAATTAACAGCTGTGATTTAATCCCAACTCTGCTATTTTCCGAGCTGTGATGGCGGGAGAGTTATTTAATCTTTTCGAGTCTCAAGATTCCTCATCTGTAAAAATACTCTGCACGAGTATTTTTTTTTTTTAAGTATTAGATATATTCCAGTACACTGCATGACACACAGTGAGTGTTTGATAAATAGCTGCTATTTTGCAAACAACCAGGGAGGAGGAGTGCAATATAATCTTGAACCCTGAATTCATTATTTTACTATGAATAAATTCAAAATTCATTCCACGAATCTAGAGGGTAAGATCAGTTAGGGAGAGTGAAGACCTGGGAAATTTATAATAATGTACTTAGTAATTAAAACCATGGCTTATAAACTGCAGGGGGAAATCACTATATTAAAAAGACCATTCAGTAGCTCATCATTTGCCCAAATCATTTAAATATTAACACTTTTAGAAGCCCAAGGAAAAATGTTTGCACAAGCCACGTGAACAAAGAAGGCATAAAGAGTTACACGTCACGGCGGATGGTGTCACTAGAGGAGCTCCAGAGGAGCTGCCGGAAGTGCTACAAGGCACCAGACCGTAGTGAGTTTGGTGTGCTCAAAAAGAACCTCCAAAAGTTAGTCACACCAACAAAAGACTGGTATATACATCCAATTTACTGATTTACAAAGAGAAATTTAATAGCCAAGAAAACAGTCCCTTTTCTTCCTATCAAGCAAATTACAACATCTACTAAATTCCCACCAGATCACTGTGTAGTGAGGGAAGGGAGTTACCAGTGATTAGAATGCTTAATGACATCATGCACTGACAGTCAGATACATTTCTCTACACAACAAGAATAAGCCAAGGACTGCATAATAGGGACGGACAGTTAAACCTCCAATAATGCTTTGAATGACACTGCCAACTTTACTCTTGTGACTCCTAGCTTTTCTGTATGCTACCACCATACACCATCCCCCCTCTTAAAGTGTATACTCTTTCTTTAGGTGTTAATAAGCTTTAGTGCAGCTTCTTTGCACAGCAAAGAAAACCATCAACAAAACTAAAAAACAACCTACTGAATGGGAGAAGATGTTTGTGAATGACATATATGATAGAGGATTAGTATCCAAAATATATAAAGAACATATAAAACTCAATGCCCCTGGGCGCCTGGGTGGCTCAGTGGGTTAAGCCGCTGCCTTCAGCTCGGGTCATGATCTCAGGGTCCTGGGATCGAGTCCCACATCGGGCTCTCTGCTCAGCAGGGAGCCTGCTTCCCTCTCTCTCTGCCTGCCTCTCTGTCTACTTGTGATCTCTGTCTCTCAAATAAATAAATAAAATCTCTAAAAAAAAAAAAAAAACTCAATGTCCCAAAAACAAATAATCCATTTAAAAAAGACACAGACATTTCTCAAAAATAAATAAATAAATAAATAAAGGCATACAGATGGTCAACAGACAGATGAAAAGATGCCCAACAACACTAATCATCAGGGAAATGCAAATCAAAATCACAATGAGATATTACCTCATGCCTGTCAGAGCAGCTAAAATCAAAAATACAGGAAATATCCAGTATGGGTGAGGATGTGGAGAAAAAGGAACCCTCATGCACTATTGGTAGGAATGGAACTGGTGTAGCCACTGTGGAAAACAATATGGAGGTTCCTCAAAATATTAAAAGCAGAATGACCATATGATCCAGTAATTCCGGTACTGTGTATTTACCAAAAGATGAAAACACTAATTTGAAAAGACAGACGCACCCCTATGTTTATTGCAGCATTATTTACAATAGCCAAGTTGCGGAAGCAGCTGACTGTCCACTGACAGATAATGGATAAAGAAAATGTGGTATACAGAATGGAATACTACTCAGCCATAAAGAACGAAACCTGTGGTGCCTGGGTGGCTCAGTGGGTTAAGCGTCTGCCTTCAGCTCAGGTCATAATCTCAGGGTCCCATGACTGAACCCCACACAGGGCTCCCTGCTCAGCAGGGAGTCTGCTTCTCCTCTTCCTCTGCCTCCAGCTCTACCTACTTGTGCTCTATGTATCAAATAAATAAATAAATCTTAAAAAACAACAACAACAACAACAACAACAACAACCAACAAACCCAAACCCTCCTTGTGAGCCACAGGTTCAAATCCAGTGTTCTTACCCCATGTAAAGTGAGTTCTTGACTACCCCACCATGTTTAGATATTATTCTCTGTGTAGTAAACAAGTCCAATACCTACACCTTACATTACCTTTTGAAAAAGGAAGAAAGAAAAAACTAACTTGTACGTAAGTGGAATTTCCTCCTATCTAGGAAGAGTATAGTGACAGGTGAAGTCTAAGTGTGGTAACAGGATTTAAAAAGTTCCATTGCAATAAAGCTTTTAAAAAATTTTTTTTTTAATTTCAGTATAGTTAACACTATGTTATACTAGCTTCAGGTGTACGATATGGTGATTCATCGTAAGTATACCCCTAATTACTTCACGTAGTTCACCCATTCCCCCGCCATCCCCCTCTGGCAGCCATCAGTTTGTTCTCTGAGCCCCCTGGCGCCCTGCTCACAGGGAGTTTTAAAATGTTCAGAGAGGGACATAGATTTCACTTAAGACAATCAATGGTGAAGAAAAGACTACAGCTATACCAGGGAGATCAGTTAGGGAAGAGATGAGAACAATAACTGACACCTGATCTAAAATAGTGGCAGACGGAACAGAGCAGAGGGGGTGAACTGGAATAATAAGGAAGGGTTTAAAACAGGTAGAACCCAGAAACTCTTTAGATATGAGGGATTATGAAGTAAAATGAATCAAAGTGATGACTCCCAGGATTTGTTTGTGAGACTGGGTGAATTGTGGTGTCGCCAGTTTTAAGAAAAACTGAACACAGAGGAAGTCTCATAAATATCGATATGACTGATAATTCCCCAATACAGAAATTCTACAAAAAAGTCTGACACTTTTATTTCCCCAATTTTAAATTGTTATCAGTAATGTTAAACCAAAATAAGTTAACATGCCTGCAAAGAAACTGTTTACTTACAGATACGCAGTAGCAAGTAGCAAGACCTATTTTATTAGGTCTCTGAGACGAGATAGTTTCAAAATGTAGAAGAAAAATCCTCCAAAAATGTTACATGCAACACACTGTATAACTGCATAAAAGCATGAGAATTACCAGGGACAGTTTGAAGAGAAAGCATGCACTTAAAAAGGACAAAGAATAGGATCCCACAGTCACAAAGCCTTAATCAGTTAGGTCCAGGTCTAAAATTTAAAGATTATCTGTCTAGAACTTACAGTTAATCATCACATACCCTATGAATACAACAGAATGCCACATAATAGATACTCAGTAATCACAGGTATGATTCTGAAATAAAACCAAAGAATGGATCAAATAATATAATGGGAAGGGAGGGCAAGTAAAGCTGAAGGTACCAGTATTACAGAACTTTCTTTACCTGGGATTTAGCCCATGGTACATGGGATTTAGCCAGCCATGCATGCAGGTATCATTACATCGATGTATACATGTAACAGCTGATTGACTGTGGTAACATCTGACTATGGTAGTGCAGTTTGTTGGAACCAACAAGCTTTTACTATTTCATATCTGTTATATCAATTCTCTCTGCCCTGTTGTCAAATAATTACCTCATGCTTAACAATTCTACTAATCTACTTGCAGAATAGTACTTGTACAAAGAACAATTGAAATTTTGAAAAATTAGACATTTTACACTTAAATCAATTTTTTAACTTTTTAAAAATAGTTTGTTTATTTATTTGACAGATGGAGATCACAAGTAAGCAGAGAGGCAGGCGGGGGTGGGTGGGTGGCGAGAAGCAGGCTCCCCGCTGAGCTGAGCAGAGAACCCGATGTGGGGCTCGATCCCAGGACCCGGGGATCATGACCTGAGCCAAAGGCAGAGGCTTTAACCCACTGAGCCACCCAGGCGCCCCAATCAATTTTTTTACTTTATGTAATCATACTAGCTACCATTTAATAAGTGCTTACTATTAATGCAATACACTTCTATTAATCATCTACTACGTATTACTATGTGTTGTGCTCAATACTGAGAATCTAATATATTCTAGGTTGCGTACAAGGAGCTTCAGAGGAGAAACAGAGGAGCTTGTAAAACAGGCCTCCAGGTGCCAGATACTGCTAAACACCTTTGATAACACTAATAACGTTCACAATTATCCCTGCAAGGCAGAGGATACTATATTCATTTCACAGATGAAGAAACAGAAAGGCTAAGTTACTTGCCAATATTCACTGAGTGATGAAGCCAGGATGCGATCCCAAACCTGTCTAATTTTAAAGGCCACAAACTTCCCTTCCCATGGGCTTTATATGCCTCTTCTTCTCTTAAATTGGGATAATAATTAATGATGAGTAGGGCACAGCTTCCTGAGAGTAGCAGCTCAACTTAATGGTGGTATATTTGTAGGGGAGAAGGAAAACAAGCCAGAGATGTCTTAAAACACATAAGTCTCCCATGTACATAAATTAGGGGACAGCTAATTATTTCTTTCCTCTTGGTATAACCCTCTCAGAGGAAGAAAAGGGTGATCAGCATCTCCCCAGCGACATGCCTGACGCCTGTTTCAGATGTGTGTGATCGGAGTCAGCATCCAGCAAACACCTGCCTCCATTCCTTAGAAGGGGTAACATGATCTTGGGCA